AGCCATTTTTAGCACCTGGAAATGATGGTACAGGGCTTGTGGTATGCAAGAGTGGCAGCACGCCCTAGTCGCTCACCGGAGGGTACGCGAGTATCTTGTCTCCGCTCTTCGGTGGGTATAATCAATGTCAACGGCCCACTGCAATGTCCAGAGTTAGTTAACTGCCTGCCAAGGAAAGGATCACCCAATTGAGGGGAGCTAGCCGGAGCTGATCGATTACACCATTTGGACCATGGATCGCAAAATGCGTAACGGAAGGCCTGTGATAGGCGGTTGTGAAACATACCTTTATCTGGTGATCTTGTAGATCGGGGAAGGCTTCACGTAGCAGTTGCGCCACGTACACAAAGCGACGCTCTATCAGCTTCATGTTCTGCGTCCACTCCCAGCTGCCCTCCTGCTTGCCCTGGATGACCGAGTCGTAGGGCACGAACCCGAATGCATCGCGCTCCACTGTGATATGAGCCGAGGGATCGAGGTCGTTCAGACGGACAGCGAGGACAACCTCGGCGAGGATTGCAGACGGTTTCGGGAAGTCGACGCTTGGTCCCAGAAAGGGTCGCCACCCTTCGTATTTGTAGCTGTCGTGAATGAGGATAGCCATTCTTCGAAGTTTGCTCGCGAGCGGCCCATTGCACACCCTCCTCAGTACCTCACAATTTACATCTGAACCGTCGGCGAGGTAGAGCATGTCGCTCTCCCAGTTGATATGAATACCGGGTATGATCATGTCCCGTGCTTTTCCACCCGGATTCCTGACAAATTCAGCTAGGTCTGGTTTGGATTGCAGGAGGTCGTTCGGTACGCTAAGAGGTTGGTCCTGCTGAGCATCGACCAGACCTCGAAACTTGTGATCGAATGATTCTTTCACATGTTTGCTTGGTAGGCCCATGAAGTTCATGTGGACGAAATCTAATTTACGCCTAAGCACCTTGAGTGCTTCGCAGTTTATAGTGGCGGCAGCATAGCGAAGACTTGAAGGCACATTGCGATTCGTCTCCGCGGTGAGGTCGGCGTAGGCTAAAGGAGTCTCATTGAGTGGCGTCTTCGACGATGCCGAGTAGAGGACGTGAATCCGCGGGACGTCAAAATAGTGTTCCCAAATCTGTATGCGGAGCTCCGCAGGGAGATCTGGGAAGCGGTGGAAGGACCCGACAGACTGGTCCGGTTCTGCTATTGGTGTGTCCTCACAAGTGAGGGAGAAACGGTCTATTAACCACCGCGCGGCCATCGTGTACGTAGCAAATAGCGTGATTGTAGTTTAAGTTGTTGCGATCAAGTTGTGTGCCTTTTTAGCTCCGAAGTTAGACTTTTGAAACAAAGAAAAGACCAGTGTCAGATGGAAACCCAAGCTGCCTTGTTAACTCTCACTTACTGTTATCAGCTACGGTCACTAGTGTATCAGATAGAGTTGGGAGATGTGGTCACGACAGATTGCGCAACGTCGCAGCGGAATGATGACATTCCATTACACGGAGCGGAATAGAGGAGCGCATTTATATACCGGTATCTTAGCTTAGCCATTTCTCAAATAAATGGTTAACCGACATGAGACAGACCAAATTAAGCTATGCAGACCGAGATACAAGCCGATCATCTCGTCTATTCTGGCCCCAGAATAGAAAATCGTCGTATAGCTAATACTCTAGGTCGTGGTCTAGACAAGGTCGAGCCGCTGCCGAATATCCATGCATGTGAATAGACCGGCAACTTGCTCAGCTGGTAAAACGGTGAGAACCAACTGGTGGCAGCTGATTTGCGGTCGTCTCCCGCTCCTTAGGCTACACTAGTGAGCCTAGTTTCAAGTGGTATAAGCAGTCTATCTACTCTAGTACTATGAACTACATCGAGAGCAAGTAATCTGTGGACTACGCTAAGCAATAATCCCGTAGCTTCAAGACAGTGCCAAGTCGGATTCATTGTCTTAGCTTGACGCAGATAAGAGGCGTAGGAATGGGCATAAGTTCCAGACTCAAGCCACTTATCAATCACCTCATCCGCTGTCAAAATGGCGAGACCCCTTAGTCCAGATTGTCCCGAATATCTGGGCCATAATAAACAGGATACTTCATGCAAAGGGGATCCCACACGGATACCCTGTAACGGATACCTATTAGACGTATAAATACAATATTAACCTCAGCTACATATACGTAAACCTCGGTGAATCAGGTGAGTATTGCCTTGGTCAACACTACTAAGTTAAATCAGAGCTAAATAACGGAGCTTACCGTGCGGAGCATGTTATATTTTGTGACTCCCCATATGGGATCGTGACTAGTCTCTTTACGGTATGCCATAACCAGTTCACCGGACCACTAACGCCTTACCTAATGCAAATACTCAGCTATTTATATTTAGAAAAACTCTAGAAAGGTGTTCAGATCATAATTGCGCTGGCGCTATCATTTAATACTTATGTATAGCAGCACAGTGATAAAAGTGTGCCGACCGTAGGGTAAACACAACGCTTAACAATTGTGCCAGCCCCAATTATATATTAAGCATTTTTTATTGAAAGAAGAAACTATGTTGTGATTGGTCTATCTACCTGACACTTTTTTCGTCAGAGGTTACACACGCCTACGTTGTGCCGCCATTGGAGTGGTGTCCATCGGATAAGGGCCATCACATCGAGCTTCTTAGTGTTAAATATGTGCTTATTTGTACACAACATCAGCTTTACCGAAACGTTTGCAACGGTATTTTTGGTTTGATCCTCGTCTGTTGTCAGAAATCTAGAAGTCCTTATGTTTTTAAAGCACAAATGTTGCAATAGTCACCTAGCTAAACCTATTCTCTTTCCCTTTTACTGTCCCATTACTTTTTCCTACGAGGAGCTCATAACCACATATAAGTGACGAATAGAAGGTATCATTCATCTAAACTGCTACTATCAAAATAACTGGGAGAACTACTGTCTTAATAGACAGGTACTACATACACCGCATTATATAGATCATCACTTTACAGGTCGCGTAATACAATAGCAATGCGCGGTCTCCCCCATTCGCCAAGTTGCATGCACGTGTGCTATTTAGCTTGAAATACATGGCCAATGCAGTTGCTGAAGATGACCATCCACTGCCTATGGTATCACAAGGGACGTATTAGAGGCTTGGAGATAGACTCAATTAGACCATAATATACTAGGGGGAAACTAGGTCCTGGACCATTCGCAAGAGTTCCTGACCCTCCCTTGGAATATTGAGGCTATTTATACACATCGTCAGTATTGCTAACCACCGACCTCCAACCTCCGACCGAATGTCTCATATTAGTGAAGGCTGAATCGCCTCGCTGAGACAATTGCCAATACTCTTTTCATCGCGTGTTACGTCCGTAGACATCGTATTCAGAACGTGTAACACTTCCGTACAACATATGGCAACACAGCCAGCGTTCGCCACGCGTCAAGTATTACCTTGATTGACTGACAAGTTAATTATCCGTTCAAGTCAAGTCAAAGGTTCCTAAAGTTACCTGCTGTTAAGTCAAAAGATTTGTTACTTGAATAATTAATTGTAATTAATTGCAGGTAAATTTTTTATTTTTTCTAGCTTTTTACAAAGTATTTTCAACAGAAAAATAAATAAATTTACAGCTTAAAAATCTTATCTTATTAATTTAATTAATAGCGCTAGCTTATTTAAGCTAGACTAGCGCGTTAACTGCGTTGGCCTAGTTTACTTAACTTATATAAACTGACCTACCCATACAACTGACCTACCTATACAACTGACCTACCCATATAACTGACCTACCTATATAACTGATTTACTGCGATAACCTCACCTAGCTAGACGAGACGAATTGACTTACTACGACTGCGACTGATATAGCCTGTACCGACCGATAAATTTAGCCCCGACCGACCTAACTTCGACCAACTAAACTACTGACCGAAAAAAAAAGTCAAAATTATCTGTTTTATCTGGTTAAGTTATTTGTTTAAGTTAGTCAATAAAGTTGCCTAGTCAAATCAAATAAGCCGAAAATAGGCCTTATTTAAGTCAAAACAAGTCAAAAGGTCGTTGTTTGACTTGTTTTGACTGTGGTGAACGCTAAACACAGCAAGACTTACTGATATTACAGTGTCGCATTTGTAGCCCAAGCTTGGGACTAGTGAGTGTTATACGAAATGATTGTATGGCCGCTGGGCTCTTCCTTCTTCCTCTCCTTGTTTTCGCATTTCTTATCTCCCTAGTGTCTCTCTCATCAGTTTTGATGCGCAAAGATCGGGAAAATCAAACACTGGAACAGGTTGAAGGAAAACGAAGGAAATGATAATTCACTGCTGAGAAAATATATCTACGTGTAATGCAGTCATGATTCTTCGTAGTCCAAGACATAGCTGAGACAGCCATGTATACCTCTGTCTAGCTATCATGTAAGCAGGCTGCTGTACTAGTAAGCTTCATGATCATAAGACAAAATGAAAACACTAAGAATTACAGGCACGATCTGAGGAGAGACATAGGTTCTCAAACGGCTTCAGAACGACGTTATACCTAAGTGTATAATAGGTGCCAAAAGTTCGTTCTATCTCTGCAATCATGTTCGGAAACACCACGTATCACCACGTACAGAATGAGAGCAGAAACTATTGAAACTTGAGTGAATATACTCAATTAAATAAAGTATAAGCTGCCAAGTCCTAATATGATTTTTGTTCTCCTTCATTCTTGGGCGGTAGCAAGATAAAATAAAAGTTATGTATGTAACTAATCTGCCCTCGTAAGTTGAAGAGACTTGCGATATGGTGAGCTTGGAATGAGGGGTTGGTTAATAAGGACGCATTTAAACTTTAAAATATCTACACTAAAACATGCAGCTCTTTTTATAATTGTTTAAGGGATGGTTTGTGAGATCGAGGTAGGATTTCGGCAAGCTTATGAAAAGCAATCTATTTTTATTCATATGCACTTAAGCTTAAAAGGTAAAAAGAATTAGGAGTGTTCATTCATGTGATGATAGCGGATAAAACATGGAAAAAGTTGGGGCTCAACCGGGATTCGAACCCGGGGCCTCTCGCATGCTGTGTATCAGAACCCAAAGCGAGAATCATACCACTAGACCATTGAGCCATGATGCCTACACATCAAATCAGCTGATTGGATGTGCTCATTATTCATTGACGAATAATCAGTATATATTAGAGTAATTTACTTCCATAAACAACAACTTAACACCATATCCTTATTTCTTAATGCGCCCGATGACCCTCAAATGAAGAATCATTCATGTACGCAACCTTGACTTCTCATTGCCATGGTGAACTGAGACTACTAGTACTGTTATAAGCCTTCAACACTTATGACGTCGAAGTTCCATCATTAGTCTGAGATGAAATTAAGCAGGGGTGGCCGTTAAGACCACATATTGGAAGATGAGTAGTGTCATATATGCATTGAGCAGACTTATAGCGGGCGTCCTTTTCAAGGTGGCCTGAGATTTCGGCTTACACGCAGTCGAGTCTCTGCGTTCTAGTTTTTGTCCCTTCATTCCCAACTCTAAAACCGACAGTTAAGCGTTTTAGAGCCCTGAGAACCGATCCCTTCCGATTGTTCCCTCGCAACGCGTGCCACGTTCCTGGCCATCTGCTTAAGCCATTGTTATCCAGGCTCCTTGTAGATACAAGTTTAAGAGCAGACAGCCTTATGAATTCCCATCCTCTTGGTACTGGTATCTGCTAATTATAGCTCCGTATTAATCGAACCGGACTGGCTCGTTATTTTGCAGGAGATTCTTTTGATATGAACTCCGGATGTGTTGAGACGGTGTGGATATCTGGTATCTTACCCCCAGTCATGATGTGCGGGCAATCGTGCGATCTTTTCATTTTGCAGTTTCTCCTTGCTGATGGCCGGGTAGTGTAGGAGTCGAAGCTGACAATGGCGATCTGATATCAGCTCCATGATGGTAGCCGAAGCGGCGGCATCGAAACCCAAGCCGATCGCAATAGCGCGCAATATCAACTTACTGGCGGTACAAAGCTTTTGGTAAAGGCCGGTCAATAGATCGGAAGTTGGGAAGGACGGACTCGGGAAGCCAAATATTTTGTTGAACAGGATCATACCCACTCCCAATCCCGTAGCTTTCCTGGTTTCTTGTGCTTATGACCATTACACTCCGCAAGTAGAATGTCGCGGGCCACACACTATTCTGGACAAGATTGTTTTGTATCAAACTATCTTTCATATTTCTCTATTGACTTGTGTTCAAGCATCATTGCCAGTGCCGTCTTTCGTGGGCACTGGTGACGGTATACATTATTTTGAGCTTTGGGACCTGCCTCATTGGCGTATAGCAATGCATGACGCCATATGTGCCTGCTCTCAATTCGAAGCTGATCTGGCTTGACTGTGTCTTCAATGTCACTTCTGACCTTGCTTGTAAGATCTAAGTGGTAACGCCATCGTAACTCATAGAGTGACTACTTACTTTTCGCTATTTAGTGATTATCCTCCCGATGCCGATAATCTGGCGTCTCCACATGCATGAGAAGCAGAAGCTAGCAGTAACTGTCATCTGTAGTCTTGCCCTGATTACTATTGCGTTTGAAACTGTACGAACGATTAAGCTTTACACGGAAATTTTCACGCTTACAAATCTTTGTTCTTACCTGGAGCTGCTTGTCACTGTGCTCATAAGTCTACTGCGATCCTATCGTTTCCTAGTCTCTCCGTCACTCAAGAATTGTTAGTATCGGCGCCTATTCTGGGCCTGGATTACGCCAAGGAGCAATCGCTTTTACTCGTCAGGGTATTTCATGAATAATATATCTGGGGAATAATTAAATTGGTCTGAGTAAGCGATCGATGAACCCAGGATGCGGGACGAGCCAGAGTCCCCATTCTCGACTGTTATCAAAGCGAAGACGACAGTTGATATTACACGGATATGAAGTGGTGCGAGGCGCGTGTCGGGATGCGGACATTGTTCAAGCGTTTATCACCAATTAATAGGTGCATATTTACGTGTTTCAGGACAATTTCCTCGCATGGAGAAGCCACGGTTTGGTGCTGGAGAGTAAGATCTTCCGTAATGTTGTCGAGGTGGAAACAGATGAAGATAAACTGCCATTTTTAGGATTGCCAATTTATAGCGTCATGGACGAGATACAATGAGAAAGATGTTGTGAACGAGGAGGAGGCCAAAGTAGATTCTATTAGTTTCAGTATGTAACGCACAGCTGCTCCAACAACAGCATGAGTCAGATTATAGTCAGCGATACTACAATAGTATCCCTTTAAGTGCCATTTCGGCACCATGTGGGATATTGACATTTTTGGTACTTCTCCCAGCCCTGTATTATTTTTTTCGTTCCGATGGTAAAAAATTGTTGATTGGGTGCATAAAGCACTCTAGTTATACTAAAAATGTCAGTATCCCACATAGTGCCGAAATGGCACTTCAAGGGGGTCCAAAAATATCAATATCCCACATGGTACCGAAATAGCACTTCAAGGGGGATCAAAAATGTCAATATCCCACACAATGCCGAAATGATACTTAAAGGGATAGATCCCTCCGAGTAGCATTCGTGACCCGAACTTTTCGTGGCTCTCAGCCGGTTGAATAGAAAGATACCAGGCCTAAATTTAGACCGATAACTCCCCCTTCTCCTCAGGTGCTTGAGATCCTTATTTCTACATCGTTTTTAGCCGAGGGCACTCTTCAGCTCATTTGACGCGCCTAAAGTGAGGGATATCCGAGAAGCGCGGGATAAGAAGCAACATCAAAATAGGTATGAAAGAACCACCAAGAAAGTGGGCGCACGTCTTTATCTCAAAAGAGAGAGCCGATGGGCACTCCTACTCCTCGACAATGTATAGATCATTAACCTGATAGATAGCCAATTGTCATCAAGAAAACACCATGCTCTCTCTGTTGATTTTGGCTGTACTATGGCTCCAAGGCATAGCTTCAAGCCATGCAGTGTTGCCTCGGAAGCAGTCATGCCCACCCTTCAGCAACGGCACGATCACCATCGAATCGTATCAACTTTACCCTGAAAACGTGGATTTTGACGAGCATTCCTGTCTTCTCTGGTACGTACTGAACTATCCACTACCCCGAGGCAAAACCTTCAAATCCTAAACATGGCTGTAACTAACGCGCTCACAGTAAGTTTGCCGCTCATGATTTGTATAACGGAGAATCCTGGAGGCAGATCTCACTTGAGTCATGAATGGCGCGGTTACTAAAACTTGAGTGAACAAGACATCGGTTCCCTCTACAATGCCTCGGTGGTAGTATACGACCCCTACAAAGCATCCGTAGTCTCGACGATCGAGTTCCCCAACATCACGCGGACACCACCCTTCCACATCGGCGGCGTAGCATGGGACCCGTACTCGGGCGACCGGGACGAGATCTCGATTCTTGTTGACGCGGCGCCGGCACAGTATGTATCCTCTTTAACCATATCTATTCACTCTCACACAATCTCACATGCACCTTGATCCTCTCTTTCCACATCACACACACAATATACGAATTGTAAGAGGGAAGGAAAAAAACGAAATAAAAATAAACTCAAGTGATTGAGAGCACACTAATAGATCATCATCAGCGAAACCGCCGGCCGCAACATCTCAGGTGAAAACTACCTGATTCGCTACTCCCCCACGAAAAACCAAACTCTCTGGCAAGCAAACCTAACAGCCGTATCGCGCGGCCGGTACGGCGGACCCCAAGACGTCGAGTACGACACAGAGGGAAACATCTACGTTCTGGGCACATACCCCGGCACCCTACAGCGCGTCTCCAAATCAGGCGCGGTCAGCGAATGGTTCGTGCCTGAGCATGTAGATCATACTGTGTATGGTTTCACGGGTTTGGCGGCCGTCGAAGATACTACGACGCTCCTTGTGGCTGATGCAAGGAATAATAGTGCTGAGGGCGGGGTGTTGTGGAGCTTTGATATGAGCGCTTCGCGGGGCGAGGAGGCGGAGGTGGTTATTGCGTATCCGGATTCTGATTCCCCTTCTAACTGCAAGCTCAAGTCCAAGTCTGACTCCAAGAATATTTCGGCGGAGGTGATTCGCCCCAGCGACGCGATTTATCTGCCGCGACGGTACGGCGGGGAAGTCCTCTTGATCTCGGAGCATGCTGGCGGGGTGTCTGTGCTCCGGGCACAGGGGGAAGCGAAAGCAAAGGCAAAGGCAGAATCACGAGTAAAAGTAAAATCAAACTCGAAAAAGAACAAGGCGAGGAAGGGGAGGGACAGGGAGAGGGGAGTAAAAAGGGACAAAAAGGACTGGCGCGCCGCAGAATTCCTGGGCCGCATCCAGAATCCGCCCGGGATCACAGCTAGCGGAGGCGTCGTGACGGCTGCTGTAGAGATCGGCGGGAGCGTTTTCTTAGTCGAGGAGTGGTTCACTGATCCGCTGGTCCCGGGCACATCGGCTGGGAACAGGACTTCGTTCCCGCTTGTTGATATCACGGCCCAGCTGGATGCGTTGGTTAATGCAAGCTAGAAAGAACAAGGGGTAGGGAAGAGACAGTCTTGGTTAATATGCTCTACAGGCAACGTCTTGTGGCGTTTCCTACCCGTATGAAGGATGTCTTGATATACAGTAAAGTAGTCACATAGGCTAACTCAAAAGAGATCATTTGAGAGATATATATTCTCCCCTCGTCTGTTCTTGTTGCTGCTTGAAGTCAGGTGGCAAGGTCTCTATCGAATAGCGACCCGCGAAGGCCATGGGAAATCTAAGGAAGCCATGTGTATACACAAAGAACATCTAGGCCTTCCATCTTTAAAGCGAAAGGATATCATCCGCCAACTCCTGATTCCGAACAATTTTGAAAAGACAGCGCGTTTACTCCGGCTTAGAGTACCCTTCTTAAACACCAGACACCAAGCACACGCCATATAACACAGAACTTCAACGACGCCAATTGATACCAAACAGACCCGCGAGTTCCGACACACTCAGACGACTCACACCCTTCCGAGCCTCGGCATTAAGAACATCACTGACAAGTTGTCTCTTCTTCTCTTGCAACGTAAGAATACGGTCCTCGACCGTCTCGCGGACAAGAATCCGATACGCAATAACAGGCCGAGTCTGGCCTA